GCCCGGAATTTGTGAGGAGTGAGGAATCGAATCGAGCTGGAAATCGCCGCCTATAACCCTAAATTAGTTTGATGCAGAAAATCAGAAATTAAAAAATTTATGCGTCTGAACTCTGAACTCAAAAAGTTCAAAACTTAAAAATATAAAAACTCAGAAAAAACCTCAGAGAGTAGTCGAGTACTGGGATGAGAATGAGATGAGATGAGACTTACAAAACTTACAAAAGTAGTGAAGTTAACCGGTGAAGATGAGATGAGACTCGAGCTCGACTGTCGACTGGTCGTAAGTCGTAACTCGTAGACTGATATCCTAAGCAGTCGATTCTCGTCTAGACTCGCAGACTAATATCCTAGACTCGCAGTCGATTCTCGTCTTCTTCTTCTCGATGATATCCTAAGCAGTAAGCCATAATGGCTAATGCCCTACTTTGATGAGAATGCCTAATTTGATTCTCGACTTGGGTCTTGGCCTCTTGGGTATTAGCTGACTTGGGTAATTGGTTGGGATTGGGCTTGGGAGTTGGGGGAGCTGGGCCTGGGTGGAACGCTGGGACGGTATGGGACTATGGGCTATTAAATAGGTAATTGGGCTTAGATATAGTCATATATATTATATAGGTTCACCAAATTTTCGGTATTTCGGTTTACCGAAATTGTAAAATTATAATACCGAAAACCGAACCAAAATACCGAAAATCCAGTACCGAATTAGACCGAAATACCGAAAAAATCGAAATCGAAATACCAAATTAATTTGGTTCGGTTCGGAATTCGGTTTTTCGAATTTTATGCCCACCCCTACCACTAAGTGGGATTACATTGGGTTGTTGTTATTGTTGTGGTATATCTCTTCTAGTTCTATTGTCCTTCGGCGCCGTGTAATATTAATAATCAAAGTTTCAATCTTCACACTGTACCTAAAATATTTTTAGGTAAATTAATTTACTCTACAGTGGGTGGGAGGATTAGGAAGGCATGTAATACATCATAATCAGATCGAATTAAAAGGAATATGAGATTAGTAATCCAATAATAAGATCTCGTGCTAGTAAGGATGGACTCTTAATCTTCGAATTAAAGATATATGGACTTGTAAGATTATTTTGATTATTAATAATTATTGACATTAATTATACATGTTTGTATTGCTACACAGTAACTATAAGTCTATAACATAGATAAATTACATTATATAACTTAGTCATGTAATGGGCAGTTTAATTATTTTCTTATTGAGATATTTATTTGGAAGTTGGAACTAACCTAGTACGTGACTTCAACCTTGTCCAAAATTTTTAGTATATATTAACAGCGTATCTTATTTAATTTGGAGATATCAGATGGTACCTTGCTCTTTAGGTGACCAAACAAATCTTGTTAATTAATATCGCCTAACCAAACCAGTCCATGGATTTTTTTAATTAGTGTACAAATTTTTTTTAAAAGCATAGGTCCAAAACCATTTTAAGGAAAAAGTATTAGAGTTCTAAACAACATTTTTAATTATTAAATCCTCTAATTTCGAAGGAACAATACTGACGAAGCGTAATCAATTGACCATCCGAAATTTGTACACTTGACTCGCTTAATAAAAACTAAGAATAATTTTGTACACCGACGACGTGTGTGAAAGAGAAAGAGGTGCCACACCACTTTTTTCTGAAAAATAATGTACTCCATTAAGTTTGGAATAACAAAAGGGATTAAAATATGTGCCATGATTTGGTAATACATATACTTCTTATTTATTTTAGTGTGGCTAGCTAACATTTATTCTAGATGTTTAGAATTTTCCATCAAAGGCATGCTTTAGTTTTATAAGAAAATAAAATGAACCATTTAATTAAAATGACTCCTATAAGTCTATCAACTTGAAATTTTAGATGAGGAAGTTCATTTATTTAATCCTAAATGAAGCTGTTAGATATCCTTTGGACCTCGAGTGGAATGCGATACCTATCTAATCTAACTTAATTTTTCTACATTTTGGTTAAATCATTTAGAGGGTGTTTGGCTAAGCTTATAAATCATAAGTTGGTCACCCTCAACTTATTGTTTTTAAGCTTATAAGCACCTTCAGTTTGACCAAGGGTTTTACTAGTTTATCCTTAATAGTATTTTTTAATTCACAAAATATTTTTCCCAAAATAAATTTTCTAACTTTTTTTTCATTCAATATTCGTTGTTCGTCATTTTCTTTACAGAGAAACTTTTTAATTTATTATCTTTTCTAAAGCTTTTAAGGATATTTTAGTCATTTTAACAAAAGAACAACTTTTCAGTACTTTTCTACCAAACACATCAACTGCTTATTATCAGTTTCAACACGTCTATCCAAACACGTAAATGCTTATTTAAAAAATCAGTTTCAGTACTTAAAAATATTTTTCAGCACTTTAACCTTATTAGTTATTTACCATCAGTTAATCCAAATAGGCTCTTAATATGAAAAAACATTACCTAAACATTTAACAGAATTTCAAGTGCTTAGGAATCACGAAAACTAACTTAGCTAGTTCCCATTTGCAACCCAATGAACCAAATGTTGTCATTTAATAATGGGACTATTAATGGGAGAACTAAAAATATATCAACCAAATATTGCATTATTGATGTAAGAAATTAATACAAATAGTATTTCAAATAATATTAAGACCACGACTCTTAACGTTATTACTTACTTTTTTGTTAGTTAACGACTTTTGTAAAATATATAGAAAGAGTCACGCAACTAGACTCTAGACCTAACAGCCCAATTAGCCATTTTAATAGCTATGTGACTTTCTTTTTAAACCGTTTAGGTTGTAGAAACTTGATGCCGGTAGTAACTAATAAGTTAAATTAAACTAATCGTCTAAGATCTTTACACTATGAATATGAATAACTTAAACTCATTTTTCTTTTGCATTTTGAACCTCAAATTTGGGTCTCCCCCTGGAGATTTTGGTGTCTTTACCGTGTACGAGATATCAAAGTAACTAATTCAGTTGGTGGACTTTGTTCCCATTGTTAGAGTTAGCAAAACTGAAATTTGTAGCATATAGTTTGTTATAAGTTATAACATTTGCGATAAAAGAACATATATTAGGTAGTTTCAGAACTAAAATTGCATTATACACGTATAATATTATACCAAATACAATTTTATTTTATTTTATTTTCTATAGTGAGTAACTCGAAAGTTGAAGTTTTTTTTTTTTTTTTTTAAAAAAAANAACTGAAATTTGTAGCATATAGTTTGTTATAAGTTATAACATTTGCGATAAAAGAACATATATTAGGTAGTTTCAGAACTAAAATTGCATTATACACGTATAATATTATACCAAATACAATTTTATTTTATTTTATTTTCTATAGTGAGTAACTCGAAAGTTGAAGTTTTTTTTTTTTTTTTGAAAAAAAATAATGCCATATGCGCACGTCGTAGAGGCAATACATGTGAGCTTCGTGAAGTGTAAGAGATAATTAACGTTTTCAAACTTTAACCTCATAAAGTTATCAAATATATTGTCACCAAAGCGATAATGATCGTCCTATCAGAATTTGATTGTTAATACTCAATATACCTATATTTGAATTTCATTACACTAAAATATATCATCATGAAATTAGTTACAATCACACATGAAATAATCATCAAATTCCAAGTGTATGCATGTAAATAGGCCAAACCTTTTTGCATGTCAATAATCAATTAATAAAATTCAATCCCAGCCACAACATGTTGAGTAACTCTCAAGAAGTGAAAATCAATAAATAATCATAAAAAGCGCACATGCAAAAAGATAAAGTGAAACGTCGAAAAATAATAATAATAATAAAGGAAAGAAGAATACTAGCATCATGAAAATGTGAAGGAATAAACAATTCAGATTCTGTATATTTAAGGTTTGATAAATAAAGTTATTTGGTACATATACTAGTAATTATATAGTGATAACAAAATTCACTAAACTAATTCACGTGAACCTCATATTCTTTAATTTGCTTAAGAGAAATAGTATAACGCGGGCTCATAAGACAATATTGTCTCGCATTCACATTATTTGTCATTTTGATAAAATTGAATTTGGTGTAAAAAATTTAACAGGCGAAGTGTTGACTACTCAAGAAATTATTCAGCAAAATAAAAGCAGCAAAAGTGAATATGTTGAAATGGATGTGTGGGCACTGAACATACCATGAGAGATAAGATTAAGAATGAAGATATCCGGGACAAGGTGATAGTGGGCAACATAGATGACAAGATGCGAAAAGTGAGGCTAAGATGGTTCGGGTATGTGAAAAGGAGAGACACAGATATTCAATAAGAAGGTATGAGAGATTGACCGTAGTGGGTCCGGTTAGAGGTAGATGTAAGCCAAAGAAGTATTGGGGAGATGTGACTAGGCAGGACATGACGCAACTCCAGCCTACCAAGGACATGACCTAATAAGAGGATATGAATGTCAAAAATTAGGGTAGAAAGATTAGTAGATAGTCACGTGTATTTCTTTTCAAACCAGTAGTATTAGTATTATTCTTGTATTTTCTAATTCTTAATTACTATATGTTGCCTCTTTCGCTCCCGCAATCTTATTATCTCAAATTTTTTGATTCTTATATTTCTATTACTTCATGTTTTTTTTTCTTCGCTTCGGTTATTTGTTGTTATCACTCCTTGTTGTTACTGTTTTTTTTCCTGTCTTCTCTTGAGCCGAAAGTCTGTCAGAAATAACCTCTCTATCTTCTCAAGCTAAGGGTGAAAGTCTTCATATATACTAACCACCCCAAACCCTGCCTATATTATTATACTGATATTTTTGTTATTGTTTGGTGTAGAAATTTAAAGTTTTAAATAAATAAATAAATAAATAATATGTATTACGTAGTACCTATTTTCTAACTCCAATTTGCGTAGTCTTAACTTTTTTGTAAAAAAAATTGAGGGCGCCCTATTTAATCGCAGTGTGCTAATATTTTTCTTTTTTCTGTTACTTCCTTTCTCTTTCACCTTTGCTTCTACCCAACGCTTGCTTTGCCCAATCACTCATTTTCTAATCCAATTAAATAAAATAAATATTCACTTTAGCTTAGTGGGAGTGAAGTGTAATGGCATTCATACCCATAACTTGGGTTTGAGTAGACCCAGTTGTGAATTCTTAGAGAGAGAAAGAAAGTATAGAGTAGTGAAATTCTTACATAGGGAAGGGAGGGAGGGAGAAAAGAGAAAGAGACAGATGCTCTGGACATGGGGAAATTGCAAGGACAGAGACTGCCTTTGCAGCAGAACATCGATGGTTCTAGAACCTTCTTCTGTCGGATGGGTCTTTCTAGAATCTTCAGTTTCAAGTGTATCGTCGTTTTGGTACTGAGTATTGCCCTTTTTCTCTCTGCCTTATTCTGGATCATTCCACATCGTTCTAAGCCATCTGGATTCGACGCCAAAGAGGCAATCAAACTTGCCTGTGAGTTTCCTTGTACTTTTAGGGTTTCATCATAATATTGCAGAATTCTTTTTAGTTTGCTGTGCAATTAGGGTTTATGGATGAATTAGGTTAACGCACTTGGGGTTTTTAGATGAATATTAAGCTGTAGTTGACTGATCGATTGGCTGATTGTAGTATCTCCTTGTACCGTTTGAGTAGCAGGATGTTTTTGGTTTTATTTGGCTTATTTATACATGTATGTAGGCTCTGTTGTTTTTGTTTATCAGGATTGTTGTATTTACGGTTTGCTGCTTCACAGAGTTTTAATTTTGTTAGATATGTACTTGTATGCATTAATCTCTTCGCCTCTTGCTCTTGAGCCGGACAGGCTCAAATGTATAAGTTGTTCACATCTCACCACATTCAGAATACTGTTCGCTTCCTCTCAATATTTGTTCAAAATATTTGAACTGTTCACACTCACCAAAAAATATGAGAAAAGCACATTATTTTGCTTGACGACATTCTTCTGCTAGTAAAAATCTAAGGAAGAACTTTCTCCTTAGCTGCTTAGGATTTTGGTGATGCTTTATGACGGGTTGCCTTCAATGAAAAAGGGTAAAGGAGAGAAAATACTGATCAAGATAGATGGATCCCTATCTTATCTTGCTTTTATAAATGGAAGTCCTAATTTCTTTCTTTTGGCAGCACAGAAGTAAAAGTTAATCTTTCTTTTTTGTTTTCTGGGGGCTACTCGTGATTGTTCTGATAATAGCCGGGGAGTGGTGCTGTAAGGTCTGCTTCACAATTTTATTCCTTTCTGCAAAAGTTTGGACCGCAAACAGTCAATAGACACTGGATTACCTTTGTGCTTCCGTTGGCTGGTGGAATTCTAGTTGAAAGTGGAAATGCTCTTGACCTTGCTGGTATCTGTGTTGATTATAGCCTCAGTATTTTCCTATTAGTTTACCAGATGAATGATAGTGTCCTATTTAAATTTTACGTGTTATGTGACTGATTGATGTGGATAATCTCTAAGAATTGGTGACCTTTCAGATCTTGGTAGCTGCGGAGACTGATTTCCCATTCATTTATTCATCGCCTTTGGTATTTTAACCCATCATCAGTTCTTAGTGTTGCTGTGTTCCTTTGTTTTCAGCCACTACTCAAGCATACTTCAGATTGGAGAAGCCAGTTTCAGATATTGTTCCCCACATTGCAAGACTGGAGTATGATATTTTGGAAGAGATTGCTATCCCTGGCATAAAGGTTTGCAACCTTCCTCAAAATTAAAACCATTGTTTATATATGCTGTCTTGTTTCGGTAGAGTGCAAGCCAGCTTGACAATGGGAATTTTCAGGTTGCAGTCCTATCCGTGCATGGAGCAGGTGTGGCTAACCAGACTGACATAATATTTGGCTTTCTTCCGGATCCAGTTGATTCTTCTATTTCTCCAGTGTCCTTAAGTCTATTGAAGTCTGCTTTATTAGATCTATATCTTCGAGATACCAATTTGACACTAACTTCCTCGATTTTTGGACGGCTGTGTTCATTTGAGGTCTTGAAATGTCCTGGTGGAATCACTATGATGCTCGAACGCTTATCCATTTTGAACCTACCCGATATCCTCTTCAATTTTACTCTCCATAATTCTACCGATGAAATAAGGGAAAATTTTATTGAGCTGAAGGAACAACTGAATTTTTACTTGCGTCTCAGGACGGATGAGGTATATCATAATTTATATGAAATCTCTTTTTCTTTTCGAGTTGATGTTTCTGGATGAGCTGTAAGGGCTTAGATGTTGGAGGCTTCTGAAAGCTAAGACTTGGGCATACTTTAGACAGGACTCTTTTTGGAACTAAGGCAAGAATGCAAAACATTTATGCCGAGCAGTTTGACCATGCTTTGTCTACCTAATACTTCCTCTCTTAGGTCTAGCTTAGTCCTTTTTCATGGCGTAGGAATCACCTTAACACTTGGTCGTTGCATTACTGTTATGTTAACTTGTTAACTCAACAGATTAGTTCTGTGATGCTTTTTTGTCTCATTCTCAAAATGTTCTATGGTTCATTTTTATGGGAAACAAACACATGAAAAGACATATGCAGTGTTATTTCATGATTTTTCATTTGGTCCATGGTGCACATGCTTGCTCTTGATTTTTTTATTTCCTTTCAAGGATTTTCATTTTAATAGTTTTTTCCTTATCTTTTAGAATGAGTTTTCTTTACTTTTTTGCTTACAAACTGTGTATTTTTCTTCTGCTGTGTGTTATCCACAGATGTTTTAATAGTAGAGAAGATATTCTATTTCGACGTATACTCCTTTATTTTGTTTCTTTTTGACGATTCTCCTCTTCACATTATAAATACGCTACACAAGCATAGATGAATCACTACAGAAGAAAGAAGTCATATTCCTTATTTCTTTTTCTTTTAGCTATTCATTGGGTGGTATCTGAATTGCAATTCCTACTTGATGCTAAAAGGAACATAATGATACACAACACGTGTGTCTGAAGCTTCTTTCTTAAATGGTGAATAAAGAGATCAATGTTTGTCAAAAAAATAAAACTATGCTGGATATATGTCAGAGATCTTGGTGTATCCGGTTTTAATAAGATTTCCCTGTCAGAAATTTGTGTCATGTGTACAATAGATCTGTTGTCAGGAGTTTCTAGAAATGTTTTTCCTTTGCTGAGGCTGTCATAAGTTGTTCAATATTACTGAAAATGATATAGAAAAGAGGTAAACGCGATGAAAATATACTTTCTTAATATTTTATAGACATTTGGTCGTAGATAAAACTGCATGAGATGTAGTTATATAATTTCTGCAACATTTGCGCGGATTATTTTGGGAGTCCCCTGATAACATTGAAACAAATTTAGTTAGTCATGCTGGTATCCCAGCCTCGGTCATTCCTTTCCAAATATTTGGAACAAGCTATATCAACTATCTGCCACCCTGTACCCTATGGGCAAGTTGATATGTTTTTGTGCTAGGAACGTCAATTTTGCTGCTTTTCCCCATCCTATTTTTCATTTTTCCTTGTCTCGAAAATATAAAAGTGGGTGCAGATGTTACTTGCTTCTTTTCGTTCATGCTGTTTACCATAGTACATTTCTGAATTTGATTGTCATATCTGACTTGTTTTTCTTTTATTTTCTGTCAGCATGTATTTTTACAGGTAACAAATAAAATTGGCTCCACTAAAGATCCCCCAGTTATTGTCGAAGCTTCACTATATTCAGACTCTGGGAGAATACCGGCTCAGAGGTTACAACAATTGGCTCAAATAATTATGGGATCTGTTCCTGCAACTAATCTTGGCCTTGATCACTCTATTTTTGGTAAAGTGAAGCAAGTACGTTTATCTTCCTTTCTAAACCGTACTGGTGACGCTGCCCCACCAACCCTTCCTCCTGCTCCAACTCCAGCTCCTTCTCCAAATGAACCTTTGTGGCCATCACCTTCCCCATCACCAGCTGTTTCTTCATCTCCAGCTCCCTTGCCCAACTGTCATAGGTTCCTACGATCACATGATAAGCTTCATTGTAGCTCAACTCGTGGAAAAGAGCCTAGCGGTTCTCCATCTCCCATGGCTGATCCACCTTCTCCTGTGACAAATACTAGTCCACGTTCAAGTAGTTCCAGAATTGTAGCAAGCCCATCACCATATGCTCCCAGTTATCCTCCTAAATTAAGTCCCGGGTTGAAGCTGTCTCCTGGTCCTTCTCCTTTATCTGCTGAATCATATGGCTCTGGTAACATGAGGAATGTAAGAGATGACATATCTCGTCCACTAATGTCTTCCTCAATCTCATCTTCATCATCATGTAAGTTTCTCCTCTTTACTTGATCTTTATATTCATGCAATCACAATGATTCATTGTTGTCATTTTGACTTGCTTTTACCTAGCAGTAGCATCTATCATTTGTTTGAATGTCTAAGAACCGTTAGGGAATTGGTGACTTTAAGATGTCTCGAATGAAATCTCTTTAGCTATAGCAGATTCTGCTTTAGAGATAGCAAGAAATAAAGTGAAAAAGGAGGAAGCTCTTTCATGGCAACTATGTTATGACCATGTCCGTGTGGACCTTGTGATATAGTATTGTAGGAATCTGTTGTATATTTGTGCCCCTCATTAGCTGTTTGTTTTGGTTTCAAGTATCCTATTGACGCCTTTTTTCTTGCACAGCTTTTGCACCTGACTTTTCTTATAAGGAGCTTTGCTTATTCTGGTTATTCGGATTAACAGTACTTCATATCCTTAATTGAACATGGTGACAATGTCATGTTCTCTTTCTACAAGAAATTCTCATCTTTAAAGGAAAAGAGAGAAGTATACTTAGCAACAAACAGCTTTATTTGACTAGGATTTTAGCATCTTTTGCCGATTAGTTTGTGGTTACCATGAGAAGCCATGTTATACCCTATATGAACAGAAGAAATCACAGGTCAAAGCCAAATGGTGGCAGGCCTCTAATTGACACAATTACTTCACATGAAGACATTAAAAGATGTTTCTTCCCGAAGGGAATGATTACTCAGGAAAACAACAGTTTCAGATACATGCTCATCTGCAGGTTTTCAAGGAGATACCAGTCGTAAGATGTGTTGGTTCTTCTTGAACAAGCTGCAAAACATGTAACTACGCATTATATAACCTCACTATACGTGATGTATATTCTTACTTTAATCTGTAATTAGCTGCTTTTGATGTGCTGAACTTCAATCAGATAAAAATAGCAGCCTTTTGGCTCTTTCTGTCTAATGTTCCAAACTACTGATTGGTATCGTTCTTTTTCTGGGATTACCGATAAATCTACGGTGGCACTCTCTGTTGGCTTTGGCTTAGTTCAGAAACTGACACTCTGAACGTTATATGGTCAATTAAGCATTTAAAATGAGGGCTCCTTCCAAATAATCTAGTTCATAATGTGAACCAAATTTCATGGACTCAATTAAGGCATCCGAACTTGCAAAGTACCTCGGAAGGAAAATGGATCCTCTTCCACACGTTTAACTTACATTTGAAACAACAAGAATTACAAGAAAATACACGTGACTTCACAGTATAACAAAAAATGACCCTTGTTTTTAAGTTTTATCCGACCTAGCCCATATTGTACATATTTTGAAGCACTAGTAAATTCAAAATCTGTGTTCTTACAACCATTGCTTCTAAAAGCTATGGAGTTAAATTTGTGTTCTCATAACCATTGCTTTCACTCGCTCTTTTCTCATATCTTCTATATATGTTTCAAGGGACCGCATATTTTTTGCTTCTCCTCTTGTCACCTGGTTGCAATGTAAAAAAAATGAAGAGTAGAAGTATACCATTGAAAACCATTCAAAGCTTTGCTTTCGAAAATAATACTCCCTCTGTTCCAGTTTATGTGAACCTATTTCCTTTTTGGTCCGTTCCAAAAAGAATGAACCATTTCTAAATTTGGTAACAATTTAGCTTAAAGTTACAACTTTACCCTTAATGAGAAGCTTTTATAACCACACAAATTCCAAAAGTCTTCATTTTTTACTTAAACTTCGTGCCTAGTCAAATAGGTTCACATAAATTGGAACGGAGGGAGTATTTTTTTTTTAAGTTTGTTAGTTGTTTGGATTGGGTGTTGTTCCAATTGATTGAAAATATCAAAAGGAGTTCAAAATTTGAATTTGAAGTGATTTGGTATAGATTTGAGCAAGATTTGAGTTAAATTTCAGAAAAGACGCAAGGAAGAAGACGAAGTCAGTTTTTTGTATAATTATGTATAATCTTGTATAATAGTGTATATGAGTGTAGAAACACACATTATACACTATTATACACTTTTATACACCTTTATACAAGCGTCTGTAGACGAACTTCTTCCACGATTTTCAATTGCAATTCTTGTTCAAAACCAGTCCAAAACTCCATTAAATGACTTCAAATTTTATATACAACATGCTTGTACTATTTCTAACAAGTCTAAATAACACCAACTCTAAATTTTCACAAAATCAAATTCGGAATTTAAACCCACATATTTAAGCTTGTTAAAAATCTAATTTTCACCACTCAAATGAATTTGGTTTATTGAATTAATATTTGAGTCACATTTACTAATTCGAAAACTAACTTAAAAGTTTGAAGAATCTTTTTTAAAATTAAATAGTAATTTTGAGAACCTATTGGAGTTGGATGTTGAATCTTAGCCTATTATTTTTGGGCTAGTTAGTTGGAATTGAAATATGAGTTATAAAATTGAAAAGTAGGGAGCCCAATTGTTCTAATGTGAAATTTTCCCAATATTGAACATTTAGTAACTGGATTATTTTAGAGAAATTTTCATAAAACACTATCGTTTAGTAGTAATTAGTCATCAATAGATACCTTTTGCTATATTACGCATTATAAATACCTTTTCTGTGGTTATAAGATCTATTTGATGTATTTAAGCTATTGTATTCATAAATACAGTAGCAAAAATAGGCGTGAATCAGGTAAGTCCAGCTAATCAGTTGTTGTATTCGAGTGTATTCGACTGTATTCATGGAGTGAAACATGGGATTACAACTGGACAGATTATTGTATTCGACTGTATTCACGGCGTGAAATAGGGGATTACATTGTTTTTAAAACTGAAAGTGAACCAATTAACATAATAGACTCCTAATATAACTCAACAAACTCAATTATAACACACAAATTTTGTATTTTCAGTTATAAAAAAGATTTTCAACCGAAAAATACCCTCAAAACATAGCAATCTTCAGAGGAATTATATAATACATCTGAATACATAAATTATATTAATTAAAAAAAAATATATGAATACATTTATGGCATATAGCGAGACAGTGAATAAAATGAAATACATAGAATACAACGGGATACATTGAAATATAATGGAAAAAAAACAGTGAATACAATGAAATATATGGAATACAACGAGATACATTGAATTACAATGAAAAAAAAGACAATGAATACAATGAAATATATGGAATACAACGAGATACATTGAATTACAATGAAAAAAAAGACAATGAATACAATGAAATACATGAAAAAATAGCGTGATACATTGAAAATACATTGAAATATATTAACAGAAAATCAAGTTGCTCAGCTCCAAACTTCGTTGTCTTTGTTCAAGAACAAACCCTAATTTCTGGCGAATCCGCCGTTGAGCAATAAAATGCAGTTGATCGATAAGCTGGCGAGCAGTAGTGAGCATGCCTCTAACGACGTCGTTTTGGCCCGAACTGGAATGCAGTTGTGACGGTGGAGGTTGCGGTGGCAACGCCGTGGACTACGCCTCCATCATATCAGTGTCCGTATCCATGGCATTTCGGTTGCAATTTGCGATCTGCACTTTTGTCGTTGAAGAATACTTTATTTCTGACTCTTATTGTACTGAAGGGTTGGTGTTTGATTCAAGGTATTAGTAAAAAGAGATGAAGATAAGAGAAATGGCGAAGAGACAGGCCATGTTTCTAGCAATTTCTGGAATATTTGCCCCTTCCCTCGTCTGATTGTTCTCTTATTGAGTAAGGTGTTTTTAGGGAATGGGAGAAGAGAATGGCATGAGAGAGAAAGAAAATAGTGTAACTGAATAGCATATTTAGTAGCTTAGGGGTGGGAGGTAACCAAAATTAGATATTTTGCTATAAACATTAAAAGGTATATATAGAATATAATTTTTTAAAAATAAATAAGGTGTCTTTGCTATAGGAGGTAAAAATTCCATTATTTTACAAATGGATGTTCTTTAAAGTCTCATGACGAAAGTGTACATTAAATAACAGACCAACAGCAATCTAAATTAGGTTACCAAGAACGTCGACATTTGCCTAAAAACCTAAATAATGACCGGTAAAGAGACCAAATTTCATGAACTCGATTAAGACACCTGAACTTGCTAAGTACCTCGGAAGGAAAATGGATTCTCTTCCACACATTTAACTAAGAATAAGATATTGACATTTGAAACAAAAAAAATAACAAAATATTGAACATTTAGTAACTGGATTATCTTACAAATGGATGTACTTTAAAGTCTCATGGTGAAAGTGTACATTAAATAACAGACCAACAGCAATCTAAATTAGATTACCAAGAACCTCGACATTTGCCTAAAACCCTAAATAATGACAGGTAAACAGAGGTGCAATACAGCTTATCAGGCCTCCATCATAGTTAATGAAGCGACTCGAAGTATGACCTCTAATTTGCTCCTTTTTTTTTCTGGTCACATAGTCCCTGTTCAGAGGCAAACTATATACAGCACAGACCTGTGAACTGGATCATAACCACAAGTGTATGAATAAATGGATGCCACTTTTTCGTATGTACTGGAAAATCAGTAAAATTGCACGTAGTCAAGGCTTGAGTCACATTAGCTGGCGCACTAGCAGTTGAATAGTAGGGATTATGACTTGTCCCTTTTAGTTCGAACAATAGAGAAAATTGGTGCCGTGTCAGCAAAAACTCGTCGTCCTTCACTGGAGATGGATTGAATCTTCCACGCTGGGCCAAGAAGCCATGAAGCTGCTGCTCCTCCTATTAAGCCTCCAAGCTGAAATGTTCATGAGAGAACACTTAAGAAAGTCTCACAAACATTAAAACATATTCCAATGGTTTTTTTTGGAGAAGGTAACATACTTGTATATTAATAACAAACTACACAAAGGGTGTGTAGTCCCCCATATCTACAAGAATCAAAACAAACTCCTAGTCCGTAGTCTTCTCATGAGGATTCTAATACATCAAAAATAGATTCAAGTTTTTCTAAGACTTCTTGTTTACACCAAAAATAGAGACATTTCATTTTCAATTTTTGGATGCTACTGACCTTGTCCTCAAAATATTTTTGATTTATTTCTTCCCAAATTGTCCACCATGCTAGCGCCTCAAATATTCTTCTTGGCATGGTCCACCTGATGCCCCTCAAACTAATGAACATCCTCCATAACTGAGTTGTCCATTGACAATGTAAAAAGAGATGATTTATTGTCTCTGCCTCTTGTCCACATAGGCAACACTTGGAACAAAGTTGATAACCTCTCTTGATAAGGTTATCCTGAGTCAACACTGCTTCTTTTGCCAATAACCATGTAAAGCAGGCAACTTTGTATGGAATCTTAACTTTCCATATCATCTTCCATGGCCAGCACCCAATCTGATTTTTTGAAAAATTGAACTCCTTGTAGGCAGATTTAACTGAAAACTTTCCTTGCCTATGCCCTTGCCATATCATGCAGTTTTTTCTAGTTGAAGTCCCTTTAAACTACTCTAGAGTGTTATAGAACTGTGTTACTCTACCAATCTCCCAATTATTCAGAAGTCTTCTGAAGGTTAGGTTCCAACCTTGGTTTGCCCATACCTCTCCAACCGTTGCTGCTTGTTGTTGATTTAAGGAGTGAATGTCCGGAAAAAGTTATTTCAAAGCCCCTTGACCTAGCCAATTGTCTTCCCAGAAGGATATCTTCATTCCATCCCCAACTCTGACTCTAGACTTGATCATCATTTAGGCCACAAATTTCTAATAGATCTCCAGAGACCGATCTCATATGGACTATTAACTGCTTTGGTTGTCCATTCTCCTTTCATCTCATATTTTTCTTTAATCACAAGTTTCCATAGTGGCTGATCTTCTGCTGCAAATCTCCATAGCCATTTCATCATCAAGCTTTGGTTCTGGACTTTAAAATTCTTAATCCCAATACCCCTTCCTTTTTGCTAGCTAAAAGAGAAACCCATTTAACCAAATAATTTTTTTTATTTTCGCTGTTACCTTA